TGTGTTATACCACTGATACTCTTACTACATAATCCCATCCCATCTGACTGGATACAAACGGTACAAGAAAAGCAAATCTTTTAATTTCACATTCACATTCAGAGTACAATTCTAAATCAATGACGGCGGCACCGAGGAGGGGGGGGGGGCCTGAAAACATGTTATGATTGTCAGCAAAATTTGTCCCTCGAAATACAGGAAATAGCGTTTCGGAGGGCCTACTTTTCAACATTTCGGCGTAAACAGATCTCGCACAATTTCGTACCGCCTCTTCTGTAAATGTAGTGACTATATTCCATTGATATACTTGAGACTACAGGATTTGCTGCCCTTTTGCTTTCTACCAGACTATAGGCCAACAAAGATCATTTTAATTTTACTATTCTCAATTGTTCACACCTTTAGAGCATTATCCCACTCTTCTCTACCTATAGGATACACATTTCTCAGCTCATTCGTAATGCCTGTTGTACACATGTAGATTTGTTAAAGCAATTGTTTTTTTAAAACTAATCTTAATATTGAAAAGTGTTCTCTTTTTTTAAAAACACCTACTATTACCTCATGTATACCACGGGGTTCATATAATGTTTTATCGATTGTTCATATATTGTTTTATAGTCGCTTGTTTTGTGTTTTTGAACTTGTGAATTTTGATATACGGTTGTGTTAACAGATCTACGGTTGATCTATCTAATTTCCACTTTGCATCACATGATACAATCCTTGTAATACAATTGGTCAATTCATTCAAACTGTTGGAAGAGTCATTTGATATAGGTGTGGCTACACCTTGAAGCACGACTGTATGCGTGGCATATTTCAACAACTTCATATCAAAGATACTCCAATCATTCAGCAACCATCATTTTAATAACTCACACGAAATACATAATGTGTGATCGAAATGAACCACCGCGATCGCGTTTTGTCATGGAAAAAGTCCCACCAACGAAACAAACATATTCAGAACCGAACATTCCGAGCAACGAACCTCATGGTAATTAGCACATATTTTGTTGTTAACCTGTTGTAATAGCTGTATCACTGTCGAAATATTTGTTTGCATGGAAATAACTTGTGCTTTTATTTCTCAGCTATCAGAGGGCAGTCAAACACTAAACCTGTTAGAGAAGTCCGTAAAACTAAAAATGGAGGCAATCAGTAGAAGGGAAATATCACCAAATTCCGATCTAAGCAGAACAATGAGTAAGTGAGAAGTTTTAGTCGTGTTAGCTATACTAACAATGTGATGCCACAGTTTTCGTCAAATCATTATGTCAGGAATATATACATGTGTTTTTTAATAGGCAGAGTTTTTCTGGCAATTGGAATAAAATGCATATATATGTACTTTGAACTATGGTCAGACACATCGACTCACCCACTGTCATCAAAATATTCAACATTTCAGTAGAATATCGAGGATGTTTGATTTCGCCATTTCTTAGCCATCATTAGAGATCATTTGTTTGAAATCTGTGTATCATTTTATGTTGTGTCGCCTAACTTTGCCAGCCATGACGCATCTGAAAAATAACCCCTGGTCGTGGACAGGACTACGCATCTAGCCAAAAGCAACAGCACATTTATATATCCAGTAATCATATAATAGTCCAGATATGCCTGGAGTATAAACAAAATGTTCAAAAAATATTTTAATTCGTATCAAATTCAACCAATTTCAATAAGCAAAAAGAGGTTAAACTATTAAAATTAACAAATCACGTTGTTGGTCAAGCAATAGGATACATACACACACATAGAACATGCACAATTATAGCAGACAGCAGTGATTATTGTGAATATAATTGTGGAATTGGATGTGGATATGGGTCGAGCGCTTGTGTCAAATTTGTATACACCTATACTGAATCGGTAATATGAAAATTTGCATTTTAGGAAAAATATGTCATAAGTATCGAGTAACTAACGCTGCTCACATGTCCTGTTTTTAAAGATGACGAAACCAGTTGTGATGCGAATTGTAAAACAAGGGTATTTCCAATTAAAGAAAAGTATATGCTTATATTTAGAAAATGTATATGTATTCGTGGGACATTTTGATTCGTTGACTGTCTTAATTAATATACACGTTAGCCAATGACTGGTCAGTAGGTATGTAATATATGTATCACGCGTCAGAATGATAAACCAAAAAACAACTGACGCTAGAAGACAAACAATCAACTAAAGATATGGGAAATTCAGGTTCCAACGAAGGAAGTGGGGGCAAGGGTGGTGGTGGAGGTGGCGGAGGTGGAGGAAATACAAGTGGCAATGAGAGACGACCAACAATAATAGGTATGATATCGTTCAATTTTGTTAACTGTGATATGAGACACAGTTAACATTAAGAAAAATGTGCAGACAATTTGAATTCCAAAAACCTAACATGAATATGAATCTGTTTTTTTACAGGAAAAGTAAACAATTATCAGCATGGATTCACTGGAAACGCCGATGTAGTACATTTAGACGGAGATTACTCTATTACAGGTAATAAGAATGGTGTTCTACTGTATTTTTTCACCGTGCAATTCAAATATAAGTATATAATAATGCTTTTTGTGTGATTACAAACTATTTATCTATCCTACACACATTTTTTTGTTACACTTACTTATTTTAGTAACACAATTTCTACCTGTCTTACAGAATCGTTGTACCCATTTTAACATAACAATGACAAATCAATAACCCAGAACGGTGAGTAATAACACTATTTTTGACCGCATTATGTAAGCATAAAATATATGTATTGTTTATTTCGTTGCAAAGTGCAAACATTTTTGTAATATTTCACATTTCTTTCAGATTATTTACTATATGACAGAAGACAAATAACTGCCAAGAAACAAATATAATCTCATCTACGTATACATTCATCACCAATGTATTATTATCCCAATTTAAGAAGCATTGTGATTGCTGACAATGTTTACTAAATTAGTTGTGCCAATTTGACACACGGAGACCCATTGCTCTGTCCCATAGTATGTTATATCTATCTTTTTATTTTAATTGAAATAGTATAATCAGTATTACGCACTTTAAGCCTTTTCACCTTAGAAGCTAATCGTAATTATGTCTCCCAGAATAGTACCACTATTTGCACCAACAGTTAGATTGGCCCCGTCAGCATTGCCAGTAATGGATGGCTGACAGTTACATATGAATGAATTTGTGCGATTTGTATTACAGAGGCCTTCAAGGCTTTTCCTCCCAGAAGCATAATCTTAGGTTGAATTTATACTTTTGGTTTCCCACTTTCGTATACAAATTGTATTGTTTTCTATTCTAGTCTATTTCAATCTAATATTCCAATTCTTAGGAGTTGTTGTATCACATTAGTTAATGTAACTTTTCATGATGTTAGTAATAATAAATATTTAGTTGAAAAAAGCTATAGTTTTTGTGTGTGTTTATTTCAATTGTTTTCATAACATTGTGAGAATGATTTGGTTAAGACGAAATTATGGTTACTTTAGTATGTGACAAAGAATAAGAAAATGCAAGTGGTACACGGTAAAGTTGTAACCTCAGATGTACTAGATTTGGGCATCTTTCACATTTAACTTGAAACTAAGTCCACTATATTTGCAATTATTCACATGAATATAAAGAATATATTTCAATGGACAACAATTTCACTGTATCAGATCTGAATACAAAGGTGGTTATGATTAGAATGATGTCATGTTCAAAAAGCAACTCTCCTCAAAGGAAACATGTATCAGGCAAACACGTAGTTTTGGACATTGAGGACATTGCAACGGTGGTGAAAACAATTAATTGCAGTAATTTTAGAATCTGGATGTCATCAGTAATGGTTAACAAACAATGTTTGCATGTCCTAGATGTATAGTGACATCATTCATGAAATACAATCTAACACTACATTAGGAAAAGATATATTCAGTTATACATATTCGTTGGTTTACATAGACTTGCAAAGATCAAATGACTGGTGAGGACGTAATTAGTGTATGTATCGTTTGAGCGAAAACTGCAAGTCACTGCTTAATAATCAACTGACAGTTGAAAGGACACAGATAATTAATGTTCTAACGAAGAGTCCACAGGCAATGGTGGGGGATATTGGGGTTTTAGTTGGGAAAATACAAATGGCAATGCAAGAAGACCAACACTTACTGACATATTACCGTCATACTTACTCATCAATTTGCAGAAACCCTAACCCTAACCCTAAGAATAAAAAAAAAACGATTGTTTTACGGGCGTATACAATGTACAACGAAGGAGCTGATGTAGAGCATCTACATGGAGATTTTGTCAGTGCAGGTAATGAGTAGAATGTTTTCATAATACTCTTTACATTAAAGGTTATTTTGTAGTTCCGTAAACAGTTAGATGAGTTCGCCATAGTTGACAGAAAGTAAGATGTAGAACTCACACGAGTGGTATTATGAAGGCCTGCAAGGTTTTCCACTTAGACGAACCTGGGATCTTAAGATTGATACTCTAACAAATCTGTGAAATTGTATTGGTATTGTTCCCATTCTCGTTAAGATTAACGTAGTTAAACAATCTCAGTTCAGTTTAATATGTTAAAGTTTTGAAATGGTTCCGGAACGCTTTCCGGAAAGATGGGCTTAATTCAGAAAAGACAACCAACAATGATTACTTCAACTTCCGACAAACAACAAAACGTACATATGAGAAAATATAAGTGGTAATTGGTGACATTTGTGTAAGGTGTGGCCATGTGTAACTAGGTGAAACCAATATATTTTGTATTTATAATTGTTTCGTTAAATTCATATCACCTATCCGGGATGTATTTTAATGAACAACAATAGCATTGTGTAGAACCTACCAAGGTGGCTCAATGCAAATGTCAAGATCAAAGTTTCGGCATCTTGCCACCAGTTGCTGTTTTCATATATTTCATAGTGCAACAATGTACTTTCATATGGCTAGAAAGAATTCCAACCAAAGCTCTTAGTCACAAGAATGATAATAATAATAAATAGTTACATAGTGGGAAAAAATGAACCTCAAGACATGCAACCGTATCTCCAGAGGGTTATAAAACATTGTTCCACAGTCACGTAACACCGGTCACATATCATTTTCAGTCCTCTATAGAAAGTAGAAACAAGTCTATTTTTATCAATGACTATTTTTGAATGACGTCCAAATGTACATCACCTGGAAGGGGACCGCCCCAGTATCAGCCATTTGTCCAGTTGCCTATTCTTGGTATTAATATAAATTCGTGGTTGTAGCATAGGCCACATTTCATTTAATAGCAATACAGCAAACCGCAGTAATGTCAAATGAGGGATCAGTTTCGGGGGAAGGAAATAGTGGTGATGGTGATGCTTGTGGATCAAACACCTCTGGCAATGAACTACGACTAGGTATACCTGGTAAGTAATATCAATACATGATGATGATCGTTATGCAGATGCAGATTGCATAAACAAGTAAATATAAAACATGCTGCAAAGTCACTCGATGTTTTTGTAAATTTCATACCTTTAATGGGTGATACAAATAAGCTGCCATGCATTGTAGTATGTTAGTAACTTGGAATAAATTTTTGGACAAATTAATAGTAAATGGTATTCGTCTTCAATTTCAGAATAATTGAATAAAAGACATACTCGGTCACCTTTTACAATACCATTTTTCCTGTCGGTTTCTATTCTGAGACAATGAGCAGAGCAAAACGAAACGCGATAACACACCTGTGAGCGGGGACAGACAGGGAAAATAAATTTTGAAATTTCGATAGTTATCCATAGTTGAAATATCACTATGCGAATTTAAATACAAACAATATTTCAATCTAGAAGCGAAGATTTTATAAAATAAATCAATATTTCAAACGTTCTGTGCATTCCAAACCTCTTGCATATTGCACGACACTACTAGTTGTTTAACATGACCCAGTTTGATCTAGTTCTAGCGTAATAATTTGGCTCAATACTTGACGCATCTATTAGCTGTTGTTATAAACAATATGGTATATATGTTGTTATATGGTAAGTAATACCTAATATTCAATTTTCAGACAAAACAACACTGAAAATTTCGGTTATGTTCTTTACAGACAGCAGCATTGGCGCTTGTTTCCCATACATTTCTCTGGGTAGTGGATCCAACGTTTGCGGGGTGTGTAATATCGCAAAAGGTATACTATACTTCGTCACTAAGATCAATTTTCAGTTCAATTGTCTTCGGCTAATAAATTATGACAATTTATGTTAAAAGATCTTTTATTTTATTTTAAATAATTGTATTTAGCATTATTCGAATAACGAATGTAGCCTCAAAAACAATAGAGCAAGTAATAGCGGTATTAATTGTGAAGATCAATGCAAAACTTTCTATTCCATTGTATTAGGTAATTGTTATTGTATGTATATTTAGAGATGACAATCCAAATGGGAAATTCCTAACACGTGATTGACGTGGAAGGCAATGATTGGACAGCACACCCAACCAATGACGCACCTTCCCCACATTAAAATACAATACGTACACTATAGAACAAATTGAAATAGCCCTTACTTGAAGATATGAACGAAAAGTTGTTTCTAAGGTGCTTATTATTATACAGTAATTGAAAATGGGTATGTGTTGGTCGAATGAACCTGCATCCAAAAAATATGAAACAAAACAAGATGGAGTATATTGGAGTAACACTGATACCAACGAGCCATCGAGACGTAAGTTTATATGCGAACCGCTAGGATTGCCCTTAAAATCACATTTGTGTTTCTGTATGTTTGTGTGTGTGGTTTTCAGTGTCTTCACGTATTAATTCTTCTGTGATTTTGTTGGCTGAGCCGATTTTGCTCAAACTTGGCAGGCAGGTCACACCTTCACTCTAGTAAGGTGGTAAAATGTAAATGTATCTCCTCTTACAAACCTAGGATAACAAATCTGGGACATGGCTCATTCTACTCAGCTTGAGTGTGGGCAAAAAATTAGCATTTTTAATATACCTGTTTTCCTTACCAAGATAGTTGACTGGGTCGATATTGTTACACTCTATCGACGTAATTTCAACGCCACTTTGAATTAACTGTGAATGCTGCGTTCAAAAAGAATCTAGAGAATACAATCGCAAAACGGTCGGAAATAATAATTATAACAGCAGAATACGCGCTAGTAATAAAGTGAAGTGAAGTTCATGTCCTATCATGTCAATATCGAAAACATGTTGTTTGTGTTTTGAGTGGAGCGGATTGCCAACCAGCCTATCGGCTTCTCATTGCTACGAGTGCCTACGATCGTTACTAATATTATTTTTCCCTCATTGTCCTAACAAAATATTTTATTGCTTATATTAGGAACACGGCGAATGGTCCTACCGAATACAGACGGTGGTCAGTATGACCAAGCTGGTGAGTTATTGCGAATCCCCCGACTTTATCTGTCATACAATTATAACAATTAAATGAAATGATCTTCCAAAATCAAGAGTCCATACTCGTTTCTGAAAGATAAACTTAATGAAATTCATTCTTTGTAGGTTTATTTCAACGTCGATGACATGTACACCTTGAGTTAGGGCTCTATATTTCCAGGTAAGATAGACTTCCATATCAAAGGATGGTAATGATAAATTATTCTGCACTGTCTCACCAAGCAGGTTTTGTATGACATGTGTATATACATACTTTAAATGCATAATATTTTTAATTCTGCCTAATTTTATATCATTTACAGGTCCATCATGAAGTAACTGCCAGAAATTAAATACGATTACGACACTAGTATTATGAGCTACTTGACAAGAATATATTTTTTAACTAACTTTCATTTCTTATTGGTAGTGGTACCATTCTAGTATTGAATTGAGCTGAATTGCAAACTATGTAGTTTAACAACTCATGTATGAACAGTAACTTTAATAAATATGATTTTACATGGTAAACATATTGTATTTTTCTGCATAAAAACAACAGCGGAAAGTCTTCCTTGTAGTGTTATTATTCATATATGTTTTGTGATGACTTTTTATACAGATTTCTACTTGTGCGACCATACAAATTTATACATTCATCTGTTTGAGCCTGTAGCCAGACCCCGATTTCATTGTATTGCATTTAATCGAGTTTTTTAAATGCCATTAGTGATAGTACGCTTTTTGCTTTGTTTTATTCGGTGATCAACATATTATGGAATAAATATTATTAAGTTGAAGAAACAATTATAAATTTTTGTCATGTCTCATTTACGAAAGTTTGGCGTGGGACTGAACTTAACAAATTGGTCTATTTTCATATTATTGCTGAACGAGAAGAAAAAGTGTATGAAATGTTATCCAAATTAGAAAAGCCCAAACAAAACCCTAATACACCTAGACTTGAAAACATACCAGATATATGTCAAATCTTCAGAGAAAGTCAGAAAGTCTAATTCAA